CACCAAACTCCCAAGAAATGAGCAAAATCTACTTACTATATTCAAAATAATATCATTGCATGGTAACGTCTAGTACTTAATGAAAGTTTTTTATAAAAATGTATTAGAACTAGAAAAGAACACTTAAAACAGTCTTGTATGTGAGCAATTATTTCTGGTCAATTTATTATATATATATATTGTATCTTGGTTTTAAAAAAATGACAATTTTAGCAAAGAGCACAAACTTTGTGATACATTGAATAATCTGTGTTAATAACATAAAGAAGAATATTTCAGGGTATATGTAATAAAAACAATGTACAATATAGTATTTTTTATTTATAGTTAAGGTATGTAATGTGCAAAATGTGTTTGATATGATATATCCATATGCCTTGTGAATGTATTATAACTGTGGTATTTACAAAAATGTCAACAACAAAACAATTTATTTGATACAACCTAAATACAACAAAGTTTCTACCTCAAACATAATTACTTAAGAGCTTTATACTAACACTACAGTTTGAGTCACAGCATGAGGTTATAATCTGAAAAGGTAACCCCTATGAAAGCATTAAAAATTTACCCCATGGGTAATACAATATCAACATACACATTTGTATATGGTCAATATAGAGATGCTTCTCCTCATTAATATATACTGCCATCTATGGGTTTATTAGTGAACTTTTGTGACTGAGGTGCCCCCAAACAAGAAAAGTCCAAACTAGACCTATGTATATTGGCCTTAAGCAACAAAATATAAGAAATGATCACACTTAATAGCAGCTTCAGTGGCTAAATACAAATCACAGCTACTTTAATGCTATACAAAGAGAATAATGACATATTGATGATTCAAGAAGTAGTATTCAAAGAATAACTGAGAATTAGGGTGTTTTCCTGTTGTTTAAGTAATACATACTACTTAGCTTTGCCTAAAAAATATACAAAAATATGTATGATACCGTAAGCTAAAATGTAACACTATACAGTACACTAAAAGAAAGTTCCCAAAAAATGAATTAACACAAACTAGTCACTATGTATAATTTAAATAGCAAACGTCCAATCCATTTACTGAAGACTTTGCCAATTTCTTAAGCCATTACTTTACACTATGATGATATTCTTGTTGTGGTCACTAAGCATATTGTATCCTCTTAATTGGTTTTCCACCAAAATCATATTGCCACTATACATATTTTACTCTAAAATTATACTTAAACTATTAAGTTCTTAGTAACTAACCTAGACTTATCATGCTTTATTTTAACAAATCAGCAATCTTAATCTATACTTTTAATTAATCTCATAAAATAAACATGTATGTAAAAGAAAGGTCAAAGATATAGACACTTATTTTACAATTTTAATTACTCTGTTCTGGTAGTTATTTCAATATTTATTCTCCATAATGATTTTTATCATGGAATGGTTTTCTATTTACTTTTCCAATTAACCCCTTTGAGATGGGTCAGAGGTGAAAGGCCATGACATCTCGTTTGTTGACTCGCATTCAAAATTTTATTGAACTACTATTTCATGAATTTATGTCAATAAGGTTGGTATCAAACTGTAGATTATAATTCAAATTTTAGAACTATACATTACTCAATTTGTTAATTTAAAAGTAAATATAAAACAAATACAGATAAACATCAATTTTTGTGTGACACACGGTATGTTGAGTGCAACACTGGTTCAAATTAGATGTTTGTGAAGTCAAAATAATAAGTCTATAGTTTGATACAAATTAGAAACACAAATTAAAGATATTGAGAAGCTAGAATATAAATAAAAAGATATTGCTCACATAATAAATCAAACACAGTGGCACCCCGCTCACCTCTTTCCATATTTGGAAATGCTCCCTTATATACACTTACTTCTATATATATGACATGAATAACCAATTGGAAGCTCAGAATGTCCCCCTAATGGTTTTCTCACTTTCTAATGTTCCTTCCGCCATTTCTTTCTTTTGAATCAAGATTTCAATGAGGTAGGTTGTGTCTTTAGTCTGCCCAAAATTTCATATTTGTTTTAGACCCAAATACTAAGCTTGATAAATTATAGTAGAATTCTATGGTACTGATGTAGTAATTTATGATTTTTTAGTTAGACAAATGTGTATATATATAAAGCCGAAAAAAAATATTTTGTTTTATATCCTCCAAGTTCGAACTTTTTAAAAGCTTAGCAACGTACGTCAAGCAGAAACCGAGTACAAAGGTTGTAACTAGAAGAGATAATTGTTTGCTTTAATGCTTTATTTACTGTTCTATGTTTAGGAAAAATAACTTTAAGAACTTATTTCAAAATAGCAATAATCTATACACATATATAATGTATAATAATTGAAATTTGACTGTATTTTACAAAATACTAGTCGAGTAAAACACAGCCAGGACAAGTTACTTTGTAAAGACCAATGGTCACCTTTAAGTTATTTGATACGGTAACATGAGTTCATGTGAGTCTCATCGTTAACCAGGCATGGATGAAAGGTGAATATAATAAAAATAATAAATATACATAAATGTATAATATTATGAGATTTAAGCTATTTTGTCTAAACATTTATGTTTTTGTGTTATAATTTGTGTTCATTCTAGAATAAAAGAGGCATAATTTATGTTTATTTCCTAATTTGTTAAGGTGGTTGCATAATCAGTCAAATTTACTGAAGCTGTACCGAGATTAATTACTGAAAATAACAGATAAAATATAAATTTATTCTTTAAAATGTTTGATAACCATCCAGACATTATAAAGAGTTTGCATGTGAAATTAAAAAATTTTCTGATGCATAAAAGTATTTTTAATCTTAAAATGAAAATTACTTTGCATGACAGAGAGGCAAGATGTGAAAAGCAAAAAAAAAAAGACATGAGAGAAACACTGCTTTACAAACTTAAGACTTGATAGAAAAATTAGATATTTTGCGTATGAAAGTATTGTAATGTTTACTGATAATCGGCAAAATTTCATTAATATTCGCTTACTAATTTAAAAGTTATAGCACAAAAACTATAACAAGTACAAAATGGTTATGAGGTCAGTCCCAGGGACTGAGCCTGGATTGAAAGAGTTAACAGACAACAGTGATAGTTGAAATTTCTAACAAAAATTTTTAAGTATTTTCCAACCACCTATCAAATTTTGAGTTTAACCTTTCATAACAAATGAATTTCTATATTTACAGAGGCAATTAACAGACAGTGTGTTCAGAATGTTTTAGCTTTCTCTTTGATGACAAACACAAACTAAACCTATTAAGTTAAAATTGTTTCCACATAATCATATCATTATACCAACAACAAACCATATCAGAGTTATGACATAACTTAATCCCACTGAGACAGGTCTTCCTATGGTCATGGGTCAAAGGCCATGTCATCAAGTTTGTAGACACGCATTAAAAATTTCATTGAACTACTATTTTATGAATGTATGTCAATAAGTTTGGCATCAAACAGTAGAATATAATTCAAATGTCAGTATTATACAAATGTCAATTTTTTTGTGTCACGTGGTATGTTGAATGCAGCATTGGTTCAAATCAGATGTTTGTGATGTTCAAGTACAAAATCTATAGTTTCTTACAAATTACTGATACAGACAAGCTAGAATGTAAGATAAGAGCCTCCTATCTTTTCTATGTTCTGAGATATTAATATATTTATTGAATCAACCAAGGTTGCCCCGCCCACCTCTTCCATTTTTGAAAATACTTGCTTACATACACCTACTTTGCCCAATGACGTGTATAGCAAATTGAAATCTCAGAATGTCTCCCTAGTGGTTTTCTCAGCCTCTGTGAAGTATTTGCATGGGAAACTTTATTTTCATGCTAGATTCCAAGCAGTAAGGTAAGACATTAGTGAGCTCAAAAAATCATAGGAATTCTGTGGTATTGTGAAAGTAATTTATGATTTTTTGTTATTTCAAAATGCATATATAAAACTAAAAAAAATTATTTTGTTTTACATCCTCCACATGTGAAATTTGACATGGCTTATCAACTTACGGCTAACAGCAAACGAGTACAAAGTTCGTAACTAGAAGAGATAATTATTTTTTTATACTTCTCTATTTACTGTTCTATGTTTTTAAAAAAATAACTGAAAATTAAGAACTTGTTTGTAAATAGAAATACTGTATATAATGTATTATAACTGAAATGTGACTGAACTTTATAAAATACTGGTCCACTGGAACACAACCAAGACAGGTCACTTTGTAAAGGCCAATTTTATATTTTTGGATATGGTAACATGAGTGCATGTGTGCCACATCATTGCAACTTCTGTAATGTTAGTCAGGCACAGCTGAAAGGTCAATTAAATAAAAATAAAAAAAATATATCGAGGTATAATGTTATGTGTTTTCATGTTGTAATTTGTATTCATTCTAGAATGAAAAAAAGAAATTTATATCTATTTCCTACTTTTTATGGTGGTTATGAGGTCAGTCAAATCGTCCAAACCCACATAGAGATACAATAGTGAAAATAGCAGATAAAATATAATCTTTTTTTCTAAAAAAAAAATAACGTTCGATAATTACCTGGAGGTTATAAGGATTTTTCATGTGAAATTTGTAAATTTTCTGATGCAGAAAAATATTTTAAATAATTAAAATCAATATTACTTTGCACATTCGAAAGTCAACTTTCGAAAAAAATAAATGCATGAGGAAAATATTATAACTTACTATAAATATCTGATATTTTGTATAAAAAGCCTTGTAATGTTTACTGATAATCTGCAAAATTTTGTGAAGATATGCTTATTGTATTGAAAGTTATAGCATGAAAACTATAACAAGCATAAAATGGTTGCGAGGTCAGTCCCTGGGACTGAGCCCATAGTGATAGATTTAACAAGTTATCTTTGGAACTCAATGAAAATAATTATGAAAGCTATATTTGCCTGTAGTTTTAAGTACATTTTCCACCACCATAAACAATAATACTGGTTCTCCAGCCATGCTTAATTTCAGTACTTTACCTTGGTAACCAACAGGTGATGGTGAAGGTTGGTATGGTGAATAATTATGATCAGAACTAAACATCCCTGGAGTCTGTGGAGTATATGGACCCTGGGGAGTTTCTGGTTGATAACCTGGAGTGGCAGGATTGTAGCCAGGGGATGGTGAAGGTTCACTAAAATGGTAGTCTTCAAAATCATTGTGTCTGAAAATACATATAAATACATATATACTTTAACAAAACCTTTAACAGACCTTTCTCTCAGATACATTTGTTCAAAACTAGTCTTCACAGCCTCATTGGTGACATAACATAATAGATTGTAGATAATTTAGAACTTCCTTAAAAATAACATGCATAATTAATATCCATCTTAACAAATAAAAACAAATTGATTGAACATACAAAATCTACTTATCTAATCGAGCACTGTATTGATACTTAACATACATATGTATAACCCATACTAATAATGTTCAGTATTATCTCTACAATGGAAACATGGTGAAATATTACAGAATATTTTTAACCTATCATTTATAACTGCTATTATTCAATTTTCCAACAAAAAATGTACATTCATATAATTTCAACTACACTTCCTTTGCAACTAGCTTTCCAGCATCTTCATAGTAATATAAAAAAACTTCTAATATTTTGAAAGAGGTTAGCATGTTATTTTATTTTTAACTCTTTCCATACAAAGTTGGTCAATGTGACTAACGTTGTAACAGCAAAGTAATCATCAGTTTCCATACTTTAACTTTTAACACGGTAAGTGTATTTTTATGAAATGTGACAAATTTTCAGTAAACATTATAAGTCTTTTGTAAACAAAAAATCTGATTTTTTAATTAAGTATTTCTACTAAAGATTTATCCATGAATATATGGAGTCAAGAGTGTTGACTGCTCTGAGTGAAAAGTAATTTTCATGTTAAGATTAAAAATACTTTTCTTCATCTGAAAATTTTCAAATTTCATTTGCACAATAACCTCTAAAACCTCCTAAGTAAACATAAAATGTTTTTTTCAGTAAATCTTTATATTTTATCTGTTATTTTTCTAACTTAACTCTATACAGACTCAGTCAATTTGACTGACCTATTAACCACCATAAAAACATACAAAATAAATCTAAATTACCCATTTTTTTTCTTTCTAGAATGACTACAAATTATAACAAAAAACACAATTATCTAAAATAGCTTAAGGTTTGTAATAGTCTACACCTGTTTCTACTTAATTTTATTTTTTTATTGCCCTTTTAACCATGTCTAATTAATAATCCCACCATAAGAGTTGCAAAGCTCATGTTACTGTATTGAATTACATAACGTACATCCTGCTTGCAAGCATACATTGTGAAGAATTAAAAATTTTTTTTATTATTTTATCTAGTCTAACCTTGTAAGTTTCTAATTTTTACATTTTAGTTACTTTTATAAAAGTTAATAACAAATGTATATGAAAAAAAAAAGAAATACAGTATTTACGTTGAACCTCTTATTATTTTTGGTGTTTGTTACTGATGAAATTTAAGCTTACTTTTTATAATGATGATACTAGAACACAAAATAATAACAAACACAAAGAAAACAATGTCCTATAACAATTATAACTTAACTAAACAAGAAAGACTTAAAATAGTTTCCTTAGCTACTCAATCTGAACACAAGATAAACCTTCAAACTAAAGATGAAATCAACAATATTTTGTACTGAAAACAATGTAGCATTATATGTCATTCGATAGACTTTTTATTGGTTATAAATGATATATTATAAAACATCAGAGAGAATTATTTGTGATTTGTGAAAGAGAGGATACGATAAGTGGGCATGGCAAGTATATCCAATTTTCTAGTTTATGACTCTATAAACAAAGAATGATGGCTATAAAAACTAGACTTTGCCTTAGTAATATCTATATCAAATTGAGTAATCTACATTAAATTCTGTACTTCAGAGAGGAGTGATAAATAAATTAGAGAAGGAAAAGACGCAGAGAAAATATGTTATAATTCTCATATTAGGAGAGATTGAGGACATATTTAAATATTTCCTTATAAAATTAAAACTTATATACAGTAGTCTCACTTAGATATGACTGACCCATCTGCCATGATAAAAAACTCACATTTGACAGGAAGTCATTATTCAAAGGATCAATAACCAGATAACGAACGACCAGGTTTAAGCAGTGGCAGTTGCTATTCCCATAATATAATGGTTTATATACTGTATAGGTAGTCAGATAATGTAGTCAATTGGTACACTGTATAATAATTGTTATGGTTGAATAACAGGTCAATAAAGATAACTTAAAACTGTTTTGTTTGTGTTTTATGTAAAATAATTTATTCATTGATCACATTTATTTCATAAACATCTATGTATCACATTTTAATTACATACATATAAAATATTACAAACTGATAGAAAATTTATTACATAAAAAATCATCCATCTTTGTTTGTTTTGTGCATTTAAAGGAGTCTCTTTGAATGTTCACGAGACTGGCAGCTATTATATCAAAAAGCATTTTATTGTAGTTTTCAGCACACGATTTTAGTATCAATTTATAAAACAAAGTGCAATAAATGTCCAGAATTCTATATCAGAAAAACAAAAAGAAAATTGTAAACCAGATTCACCGAACATAATAAAAAACATCCCATATTTACCACCATTGCAACTAAAAAAATACACAGTATATCTATACAAGATGCTGTAATTTTAACCAAAGATCCAAACATCAGAAGCTACGTATCTTAATTGAACAAAACAGACCCAACCTAAACCAAGATTTCACCTTGAAACTTGGATCTTTTGATCCCAGCTCTGAAAAGAAACCATTCTACAAATTTAAAAGAACCAATAAAGAAATAAGAATAAATATCTGAACTCAATTTTTGATAGACTCTAACCAATATATAATAAGGAAATCCTTTCCGAATACAAATACTACATGGAATGTAATATGTTGCATTAAAACAATTTCAAGTAAGCCATGCTTACTCCACAGATTAGTCCAGTCTGTCACTCAACAAACCACAAGTTAATAATCTTCACAACCCGTTAGTTAATCCTAATAAAGTTACTTAACATCTAGGTTTCTATATCAAAATCTACTACATTCACTAAAAGAATAAACCTTAATTCTGCGGGTGGAGCAAAGACAAATAACAGTTTCTGGCCACCCCTAATTACCTTTCAGGACCTGAAAGTTTTTAAACCAAAATATTTATGTGTATGTACCAAGGAAATTGACTTGAACAGTCCAAGGTACCAAGATATATATATACTAAGCTGTGAATCAATCTCCAGTCATGTGATGACCTCTTTGTTCCATATTGTACACACTGTATTCATGTCTCTGTAAATTACATTATTGATATGAAGAAAAGTCATTATTCGATCTTCCGCCCAAAAATCAAAATTTGTTATTATATCTTTATTTTAATATCAAC